AAGGATTTATTAAATCTCCTTCTACATCGAGACCTCCGTCTGCTTTAGGCTACGAGGAAATTGCAGCTAACTGCTTCTTACGTTTGCATAAAACCGGGAATAAATGTTTGTATGTGCTGTTTTAGCCATCGATATTCATGGAAAACCCTGCGTTTAGTGCCCAGTCCGTTGTCTCATATATTTGGCATCATCAGCTTAGTTCCTACCTGTCCTATGCTCTTAGCTGGAGTTTTTCCGGAATAGAATATATAACGTAGCCCATGAAGTGCTATCCCAAATACGATACGCATTTCGTTTATCCACGAAGAGATTTCACTGGTCTGAGCCTCTTCCAAGATGTAACTGAGACTACATATTAGATGTGACTTGAAGCAACGTTTCCATTAAATCATTAATAGATTGAATCGCGCGGGTTTCTAAATAACAGCGGGGTAATCGTGAAAGGAATATTGTTGTATTATTACTAAATCCATGAACAATAGCATTACAGTGACGTCGGTCAGGTGAAACACTGATTAATAATAGCTCTTTTAGAATGTATGCAGTAGGCTGAAAACAGGTATTCTGCACAGTCTGCGTCCGCTATAAGAAAACAATGCCCACTCCTCATTTTTTTACAGTGTGTCAGTTCCAGACGAACAACCCCGTTTTTAGGACGGTGTTGAAGGATGGCACACGATTGAAGGATTTTCTAATTGTGCCAATGAACTGGCGAAACGCTTTGTCCACACTTAGGGTACCGACAGGACGATCGGGCGGGTACAGGGACACGATGCTCGTTCCTATAGACAGATCAAAACGATAAAGCTGACAAGTATTGTTGTGTAGTTGTGCTAGATAGTACTTGTAGCCATATACACTTGGCCCTGGGTTTCGACACAAGAAATGTCAGCAGCAAGCTGGAGAGCCGAGTGATGACAACAACGCTGTTTTAGCGGTTGGATTTCGAGGCAGCTATACTGTGAAAGTTACTCGGTTATGGCTCAAGAGACCGAAATCAAAATGGCGACCGCATTTGTACATACGTATCCATATATAGCTCGTGTTTGAGCTCAACTGTTCTACATTACGAAGCAAAGAATGGTAAATGTTGTTTTAACGCAAATAGATTGCTAGGTTAATTTAGATGATAGAAATTTCTTTAACGATATTTCTTGCAGTGGCTGTATGGTGTAGTGGCATGTGGTGGCAGTGTGACGAGGGATTTTATATCTTGCAGGCACCTGAAATTGGATAGTGCCGCATTCGCTATGAATCTTCGTCGCGTTACGTTGCATGCGACTTAATCGCTCAGGCCCTACTTCTTGCATTTACTTCTTAAACTCTGTTATCGTTACCCACAGCTGGGAAATATTTAAAGCATCGTGCTCCTTTGAGGTGACTTCTTATTTAAGTTCTCTGTGGGCCAAATCATATTACGTATCAAAGCATAGAATTGCCCAAAGACTGGTACGAAAATCGAGTACAACAAGTGAAAGTCTATACTAGTTGCTTGCATTGCTTAGCGTTATTGACAAACAATACAGATCTTCGTCGATTACTCCTTCCAGCCCAGTTCTTAAGGACATGGCGCCGAAAGGGCTTTGTTTCAACAAAGTCTTGACGCTTTTGCCCGATCCGTAGTTTAACGCCTGTGTGCAATTTTGATGAAAACACCGTCCAGCATCCATTTGCCCTACTAATAACATTAAGTCTTTCCCCAAAAATGTGGCTTCTGTTCGTGCCCTTACCTCTCAACTTACTCTAACTGCCTTAATCCGATTCATTCGTTGGCAGTGTCCCGAAGCCCGATTGTCCCTTCACCCTATGCAGAACGTAAGCTGCTTTTGAGATAGATCCCTACGCAGGTTTCATCTCCACTGCTTTTCTATTTTGCTGTAATTATTATCACCTCCTTCTAAGAACTAACTGCTCCCTTTGATCCTGTTATATGTTGGAGCCCAAACTGTTTCGTTACTATTGATGCTATTGAAGTATCTAGCCGTTACGGGAGCTGTTGTAAAGCGATCTGGCGCGATCTTAGGGACGATAAAATAGGCCAAAGGGTTTTAGTTGAGACGGAAATTTCTCCTTCACGGCTCTGTGTCACGCTTTGAAGGCAAGGGTCCCTATAGATACCAGTAGCGATGCATGCACTACTGAGTAACGCCGTTCCACTGACTGGGATTCCTCAACCGCTTAACTTTGTTTTCGAAGACACTTTTGCATGTTTAGATGATGTGTTATATCTATGAAAAGGGCAGACGTGACATTTTACAAAAGGGTAGTCTATGTCCTAGGTACGTTCCTATTCAGTTTCGTACGAAAGAGGTGTTGCTCAGGTTGCGGGCTCTCATCGGCGTTACGTTGCTTTATTTACTATCACATCAAAACGAAATACAATTTGGGTCATATCTTATGCATAAAAGATAATCATGCGGGAAACGTATAACTTTTCTTCAGGTTTCTATGCTTGGCGCTGTAAAGTGCAAAACTATCTCGTGACACAAAAACAGGAAACATTCTTTTTTGAAAGATTTTCTCGACTCAATTAGTCTGCAAATTGTTTACAAAGAATACAGTATTATCGTATTACGTTAGCCTGCGTATTAAAAATAAGGATGATATTGGCCTGTATAGAATGCTCCACTCGTACAGCCTATCTTTCGTCCGTCGAGTATCTCGTAAAGGGGTTGGTGATCTGTGTAAAAGAATTTTACCCTCTGTAACAATCTGTTCCTTCTTGATAACGTTATTTCTGTCGTCACGGGCAGCAACGGCGTTTGAAAGAAGCAGTCCAGTGACATTTCTACACGTGGATATCAAAGGCTCGGACGAAATTCAGGTTCAAAGGTGCAAAGCTTACAAAGGAGATAGTCATTGCATAGTAACATTCCGCTCGGCTGCAAAACGTAACCGCTTCTGCCCACGAACGAATATAGCTGCGTAAATGTCTGTTCGACGGAGAGAACGGGTTAATGCTAACGATACAGACAGTACAGAACAGGGGAGGCGTGCCGTCTATCGTTATAACGGCAAAGCGGCACAAGGCTGAATAAGCGGACTAAAACTGGCTTTCTGTTCAACGCAGCGTAGCAAGCGGTCGCAAGCATCCGAACAGAAGACGAGGCAATTTTGTGAGCAAAATTGCGAACAGTGACGTCGGCAACAGTACCGCGAATACGGCGATAAGACAGTAAAAGCACAGACAAACTAAATGTTCCTAACCTCTTGTGCCTGCTACTCCTTACAAAGTGCCCCAAAAAAAGGAAAGGTCCAACTCTGCTCGGACAAGCAGTGCCAGTCCCTTCAAAACTTTGCTGATAGAGACCTCAATAAGGGTTTAGTGTTACTTTTAATGTTAAGGCTACATAATAGTGAGATTCCTTTACCGTTATATTTATATATACCTGAATCCGCACGTCCGAATAGGATGCAGATGCAGTGAACTTCGCGCTATCTGAAACCAAATTAAATTACATACAATAGCCTCTTGATGTTTCGATAAGCACTCATCTTCGTCTTTTTCGAAAAGCTTTGCAGTTTCTTCCCGGTAGTTTCTGAGGGAATTCGGAGCTATCGCTATAGCTTACCTGCTCTATCGTTCCCGGACGTTTGAACTCGTAGGCTGATTGATATGTACAAAGTATGTACATTTGATAGGTCCAGTAAAATATTGAAACTGATTGGATGGAGTCTTTTCCATTTGTCCATTGATAGATTGCAACACATAATAGAAATCGAATCACAGACAAGGAGGTACCGTTGTCAACACTTATACTCGTAAGCAGTAATAGAATAAGGTTCTTTTGCGTATACACGAATACGGCAGAAATTTGGAAAATTCTATGGCGGGTTTGTCTGTCTTAAAATGTTACTGTATTTGACCAGACGACTACAACCCAGATACCCGCGAGAGGCTTTATGAAAGGAGCCTATATGGCACATACGAGCGTACCACTATTGATAGTTATTTTCTTTTCCAAGCACAATGGGCCAGGCCAGTCGACTCGTTTGTCTTTGCTGCTCCACGCATGACTCGATATCGTATATAGTAGTGTGTCATCTAATTTATCATGGATTTACATATATTAATCAGCGTACTACCATGGATATTATAAATTGCCAAACAGAGTACTCTGTTCGCCAATAGATGATGCCGTGCTCGTGGCGCTTGCTAACGGGTAGTTTGGCTCAATATCAAGAATAGACGATTAATTCTTCGCCTGTCTTTGGTTTGTTATCGGGAAGTTGTTTACGAAAAAAACATTCTAGTTGTTTGAAGGAAAAACGTTAGCGTATAAAAGAATAAGTTGTTCCAGAAGGTTCTGTCATCCAATAAAAGCACAGCATTTCATTTGAATATCAGTAATCACTTTATTTAGATCGTTTCTCAGTCAATTCGTTTATTCAGTTCCGACGAAAATTCTCAGATCTGTTATTAAAGGTTTTTTCACTTCATTGTAAAACGCCCTGCTATGTATTAGCGGTCGGAAAATATGCTGATCTATCGTCATGAGATCTAGACACTTGTCGTAGCTGCAAGAAGGTCTTTCAGTTAGGCCCTAACAGCATAGCTTTAACGACCTTTGCCGAGTGTGCCCAGCGTTGCCGTGGAGAAGGACTATTTTGCATTGTCCAACGGGTTCTCGTTTTTTCAGTGTAATCGAACCAATTTGTAAATCCTTATTGATGGAAACGTGGAAGTACCACTTCTCACCCATAACAGTTTTCCTTAAGAGTTTGTTATTTTCCAACCAGCTGTTCAGTGCTGGGTCATGCGTTGAAAGATAGTGAAAAGCCGTATCTTCTTCTGCCTATCCCTTGAATTACAAGGCTAAATTTTTTTTAAATCCTTCACGCTCAAGATGTCTGAGAACGGTAGAGGATTAACAGTCCCGACCGCAGACAGGTTGTTTGCTAATAGAGGTAGTCATCAAGCTCGGATAGCCAACCGAGGTGAGATCGTTCAGGTTTGAGATGTCATCTTTGAATTTAATAAACCAACTTTTTTTTCGTTCTACAATCATCTTCGTACGTGACCTAAATATCTGGGCTTTTTTTTTTTTTTATAGACTTTTGACCATTTCAAAGCGCAGAATAAACTATTTGTCGGACGTGCGCTTGGCTCCACTTCCGACAGCGAGCCTCTCTCACTACAAAATAACCTTACAATTGTCACTTGGTGTTCGCAGTGAAGATGTAACGAGAAAGGGAACCTTTGCTCTACGTAAGGGAACGTGGGTTGCTACTACTACTACTACAACGACGAACCTATTTGCATACAGCATTGTCGTGCGTAACGCTTTGAATAGCCTCCCACGTTTCAGGAACGTATCTTCACAAATGATTTCTGAAGACTTTCAACACACTGCCATTTTGCTCTGTGCATTACGATCTTCAATAGCGTGATATAAGACCAGTAGTATTAAGTTTGCGTATCGTCTCGAAAGAAATATATCAAAGCTCATCTTTCTAAAAATACGTATGCTCAGATGAGCATACATTGTCAAAATTATGCGAATAGGCAATGTTATTTGCCTCTGGTAACAATCTGGTAACAATAGATACGTTCTTTTGGAAGTTCCTATTATTAATACTTCTATTCTCCACCATTTTCTACTCGTTTACTACCTTTCTTCTTGCGTTCAAAATGCATACGGTACAAGCCATGTAAGTGCACCTTGAATGTCCTTTTTTGAATACCAAACAATCTTTTCACCTTAATACCACAATATTTATCTCAAAGCGAGGACGGGGATAGTAGCCCCTAGCTAATCGGCTTCGGTACCCATATGCGGACAGTCTGGTACTAAAACGCCAATATATTTGGGTGACGAAGGAGTCGTTTTAAACGAACACGCTCACATGGTACCAAAAGCACGACCATCGAGAGGCTATTAAAGGCTACGAGCGCAGACGGTCTTCGCACATCTGTTGATTCTACAAGCTAACAATATTTCACTAGGTTTGTAGCAATCAGATTAATAGACGGCGTTGAACTGCTCACCACTCAGTGGTGCCGTTAATCCATAGCCTTGATACGATACGGTTGCTGGTAAAAGGAAACGTCCTTGGGCATGATGTGACGTCGCTGTCAAGCCGGCGCCCACATACTCGGAACATATCCTAGAGCACTTTGATCTGAAATAGCACTTTGATCTGAAATATTAGTGAAATTCATAGGATACTAACGACGGATGATGCGGCGTGGTGTGCATCTACATTAAAATCGGAAAGGATACGAGCTTAGCTGATAATAACGTACGCAAATTAATGAGTTTCATGCACACACGCATATTACGGGCTTAATTGCACAGGAATCATCAGCCTAGCGATAGGCAACGCCCAGTTATCTCGTTTAAATCTGAGAAAAATAGTGGCCTACTTTCACCCTAGCTCCATTCAGCCGGGCTGCGCGCTCGCACTGATTACCATGTGGTAGAATCGGCTGTTAATCGACGATGGTGTTACGGAAAGTTAGCCGTTGACCCAAGCTTTTTATAACAACTGCTCATTAGTGAAACAAATGAATAAACTAAAGTATCGGTAAAAATAAAATAAAAAAATTATCGGTAATGATCTGTGCAAAAATATCCGAAAATTTTATACGATATTGTTTCATATAGCTAAACAGTATATAGAGGTGACCTTTAATTAGTACTTGCAGAAGCATCTGCATACTTTTCTAAAGGTATCCGCCATCGTTCCTTGAAGTTGGCGTCCCAGAGAATCCACCGTCCCTATATTTGTAACTACTTTTTCGTAATGTAAACGTATATTTGCACTGTTTTGTAAAAGGTCAGTAGTTTTGAAACTGTGATCCTTTGTATAAACTTTTATTTAGATAAATATTAGGAAGTCTTGGACAGTCTACTTTTTGCGCGCGACTTGATTGGTAACTTGGTGACTTATCAGTATCCGTTGATTGTCATAATGTTGTTATGCTTATATTCTACATGTGCTCCCCATACAAGCTGGACGGTCACATCTTTGGAGAACAAACTGGGACATCTTCGATTGATATAGCTATATGGAAGTGATGCGTAGAAGTCGCCACAGAAGGGAGAAATAGACTGACAGAGATCGCCTTAAACAGTTTAACATTAAGTGTATTTATTTATGGCAGAACTGTATATTAGTTGGAAAATTGGGACTTTCCATCAAACTTTTTTTCTAGTAATCAAGTTCATAACTTCATATGACATATGCCATAGACATACAGCATAGGTGGGAATGGATGCTTAGAAGGGCAGGGTTAAAGCGGCGTCCGTAGCGATTCGACTCTTTCTTGTGGAGCCCAAGTTCTGAAACTGCTCTCTATTTTGTGCTGCAGAAGAAACTATTGGCAATATAACGCCCTAAGAGGTTCTTTCTTTAGAAGCAGAACCATGGAAAACAGTGGAAGGTAATTTTCCTCAATTTATTATTATCATCATATTAGCGTCTACATTTATTGGTGATTGTCTATTTATTATGTATTACACTGCTACAAACTTACCGGTTGCGAGAAGTTGCGGGGAGAAGACAACGACAATTCGTGGTAAACGTGGTTCGGAATGGGAAAGATTCAAGCTACAAGTGTTGGCGTTTTAGGCAATTTTCGGTATGGAGGGAAACTAACGAACTAGATGCATTGGGACTGCAACTACAGAAGCGAGACGGATTATATAACAAAAGCGAAAATCAGGGAGTGTGAGGAAAGAGGTGACACAGAGTATCTTTGGCATCATGGCACAACAGCATAAAGGACATTAAATAGCCGTAGATCAGCACCTCTTGCTTTGACTGTGCCTGTACATAGGTGCTTCTGGAGTCAGCTACGACATACAACGTACATTGCTACATCGATATGTCTGTCTATAGACGAGCTATCTCATTGTCCATGTTGATGTTTGCTGAGGATTTTAAGACCGGTCTTTTTCAATAGCGAGCACCGGTAGCTGCGGGTGTGGCAGCGGCCTGCTGCGGGGCAGAGTGGCTCACCGAGCTGGAGTACGAGAAGGGTCCCCCGTACGGGTTGCCGGCTGGAGCGCCTTGAAAAGCAGCGTAGAGTACGGAAAATAAGGTAAATGAACACGGAACAATGGATGACCGTCAGAATTTACACTACGTGCCAAACGGACAAGATCTTAAATGAAAACCATACTTATTTATAAAGCTCTCTAATTTCTGCTTGAAAAAACTGGGGAAGATCAAGTCTAGCCAACGATACATTAACCTTATACAGTTTACATGACCACGGAAAGGGGTTATTATCACTAGTTCTAGGGATATTTTCAAAAATAGAAGTACCAGTTATTATTTCTATATTTGAGTGCATTTTACAAACCTTGGGGAGCAGCATACTGAGGAGCAGCATACTGGGGAGGAGCGCGGTACGAATTAGCGCCCGGAGCAGGGCCAATAGGAAATCCTCCGTGCGCACCAGAAGCGGGTTGTTCGTAGCCCTGGGGGACGGGGATCCTGAAGGCGGGGTTTTGCTGGGCGACCTGGCCCAGATTAGCAAATCCAGCGCCGGCAGCGGGATTGTGGGCTCCAAGCTGAGCGAGGTTGGGCAGCGGGTGTCCTCCCGCCGCTGGAGCGGCCGCCGCAGGTGGTGGTGGCGGTCTATAGCTGACGGCCTGTGGTTGCGGAGCGGCGTATGATGGAGCCGGAGGTGCACCGAAACCGGCTGGAGCTCTAGCCGAAGACTGTGGCTGGTGAGCGTGGTTCACCGAGTTAGAGAACTGGAACAGCGGGCCAGGCGGAACTGCTTGTTGGGGGGCACCGTACTGAGGTACGCCCTGATGACCTGCATATTGGCCACAGGCAGCGGCGGCTAGGCTGACAAGTACAACTGACTGCAAGAAGACAAATTGAACAGCGGTTAATTATTATTTGATGTACTGGGCTGCACGGAAGCACACGACAATTTATAGTAAAGTTACAGATCTGAAATCCTAAAATGATTCATACTTTTTTCATTTATACTATAACCAAGCCGCGCTGATTGTCCTTGCAATCCAGTTCCGTTTGAGCTTCAGTGGCGCGCGGTGATGTGCACCTGTAGTTCATCTCGCTACCGGATTTTACTACATAACGTGTTTGCGCTTAATCAAAAGCTATTGCAAAAAAACATCTATAATCAGACGTCTGGCTACCAGCACAAAATCAAGAATATTACGTCTAGCTTTGAACCTGAATCTCCTTGCTTGGTTCTAAAGTTCTCACTTCTTCGTACTTGTTCCTCAAGAGCAAATACGTGATCGATGCGCCATTACAGGGACTTGAAGAACCCAAAGATCGATTTCGTTGCAGTCTTGCAACAATGGCATTTTCCAACAATGAATTATATAAGCACCTTTCCAACAGGCGCTTCGAATCGTTGGTCGCATAGATAGAATACTAATTCTGTCTGTCATACCCTAGTAAATATTGCTTTATCATTACGTGAGAATTGGCTCGTATTATGAAAAAGCGATCGCTTCTTCTATGGCGTAGCTCTAGTCCTGTACTGCTAAAGAAAATGGCTTTATCAGGGAAACGATACGTTCCTTTTGTTTTTATTTCCAATATGGACGCTCGATAGCTCCAGCCGCCCCGCTGATTGCCGTTAACAACGAACTCAAGAAAGCTAATGATTGATTCTAGCTTAACCAGGTACTAGCGACAGGCTCATAAGCCGAGAGCTCGGTAGGTCCGACCCTGTCATCTTCTTCTACAGGCCTGCTGTGAACACGTTGGCAGACGACAATTGACAGCAGTTGCGCTGCCCGCTACTGTGCGACGTGAACGCCGAAGGCTCAAATAACACTTTCCGATGGATTTTATTTATGCCGTCGTCTATGTCCGCCTTTGCCGATGTGACGACCTGTTTAGCCTAGTTACGCCCCATATGCAGCGTAAATGCAGAACAGATGATGCATATGGAAAGGTAGGCCTGTGCATATAGACACTTGCTTGCTCTCCACTGCTAGTTCCTGCGGTGGCATTTTTCCACTAGGACGCCAGCTAACAAGGGACGCAGCCGACGGGCACCAACAATCGGTTCCTGCCTTGCATGGCTCTCTTTGTTCCCTGTAGCCCTACAGCCTAAAAATATCATGATCTCGCGCAATAAAGCATATGCATTGAACGCGTACTGGAATGGATCGAGTACTCGGCCAATGTATGCAATGTGACCATGCACTGGTACGTTTCTTTTATCTTTTCTAGAGGCCTTTTCGGCATAATACGACGGCCAGGGGAGCAGGATTACTGCCAGTGACGGATCGGCAGCTCTAGTTCCTCACTGGTACGTTGCTAATACGTTTCGCTGTAGAAATAGCAAAAGCAATTAAAGTACACTCAAAGCATGCTTCTCTCCGCCAGTTTTACTGACTTTGCCACCGACGTTATCCGACTATAACGTTTCTCACATATACCACATACGCGTCAGCCAACCTAAACTAAATTTTAAACGCTTCCTTCTAAGAAGGATTGTTGCGTCGCGTGCTTTTTTCATTGGCTACGTTCCGCGCTAAGCTTTTGTTTGCTTCTTTGTTCTAACAAATGGTGGCGTGTGGTGTATGCGCATCGAAGTATTGATCTGTAGGCGTATGCCCTGCATATTTATAGCCTTTGTGGTAATTACGCGCGTATGTGCACGGAGCTCGATAGTATGTGTCCATCGCAAAGGTCGCCCTATGCATATCATCCAGCGCGATACATGTATAGGCAAATGTATCTAAACGGCCATTAGGCAACGACCGCACGATCTCCTTATTTCTCTCGCATTACAGGCATTTTCCGGCAGCGTCTCTGTTGCTCCAACCGCTACGGCAGTCGCCGTGAGCTACGATACTCACGCGATGTCTATATAATGCAACCATTATGGATAGAGACAACTAGAACATATCGTAGACCGAACAGGAAGCCAAAACTCATTTTTACATGAAAACCAAGATTCAAGCGAGTAGAAACAGGGATATACTGCTCATCGCGCGTTCCGCATTAAGGGATCTGCTAAATGATATCGAACCTAATTAACGCGACGAGAAGCTAAGATGATAGCTGGGTCGGAATGTAATTTACTAATGATTTCAATACTTCGACTCCTATTACTAAGTCCTTCTGCCTTCGTATCTCTACCGACTATTGCCTTCCAAGCAGATCTTTAAAGTTTTTTTAAAGTTTAAAGACATTTAAGTATCATAGGTATTCATCAAACGAAGTCAAACGATTTGACACAGCCATCAAGCTTATCTTCTTCTCTGCTTTCGAAAACTTAATTACTTAAGGTATGACCGCTTTTTTGAACTAAAGCCAATATAAATTACTTTTTTTAAATCGATTATATTATCGGCCACTTAAAACCATTTGACCAACATAAACTTGGGACTAAAGGATAAAAAGGCTCACTTGGGTCCTCTCATTCCAATGGATGAAGTTCGAAGACATGTATCGGTTCTTTTTGTTGCTGGAGTTGCATACGGATTTATTTGTACAGGCCGGAAGTCCGGCAATAGGACGAAACGGTACAGAGGAGCGATAAGAAACGTTTTGACAAAGAGGAAGAAGTACACCGAAAGATGGTATTCGTTATTCTGACGGCATTGAAATAGATCGGCAGGCGGTCAATGAGATGAAGTTTATCGATTGTAATACCACAATAAGAGCTTTATAAAACTCGTGTGGCTGATATGATATACAAGACGATTAGGTGGCTTTAAGCAAATACGATTTAGCTCGTTCTATTCTTGGTCGCGTTGTGCTGACGATCGCAGAAGGATATTGAGCCGACCAACCAGTAGGACGCACATAGATCAAGCGTGTAATACTGAATTTTTGACTGACAATTGAATATTATCAATTATGTATTATAAGCGATAGTATGAAAAAGGAACTCTTATCTCGCTTTCGGACAAAGGCAATTCGACTTACTTCATCACGAGAGCGAATACTAAACCTATTTCTTATCTATGTGGATATCTATGTAGATAAGAAATAGGTTTAGTATTCGCTTCGACCGTCTCGTTTGACTGCTAACTAGACTGTGCTAAGGAGATAATAGGATAACTGAGGCCTATTATACCTTGGTTAAAAGAACCGAGCACAAACAAAACAAATGTGTGCCTAATTAAGCGCGACAATCAGTTAGCCAACTTCAAACTGAAAGCTGCCGATCGCCGACTAAACTCAGCCTAGGGATAACGTTAGGCCAAATTGGAGTACTTCTGTTGCACGAAACATGGCTACAGTAAACGGCTTGCGTCGATACATTTTCCACAGTAGAAGCTGATAGAAGCACTCAGAAATGCATACACAAAGACACAAAAGCTAACTTACTGCATCCTATCTATGTAAATAGGCCAAACGTGAACGTGCTCGATAATCAAAGCTTGAATCACTTCACCATATCGTCTATGCTGTCCTCGAGAGATCAACCGGAATGCCAATGGCGGCACCAAATGTCGTTGATACAATGTTTCGGATAACGGGAAGTATGTCCTAAACTTGTAGCTAATTAATCAATTCCTAGGCAATTACATAATCACACGTGCGTTACAGGAAGTTCTATTGCGGCACATCTGAAGTTATTCGAACACAGGGGTACAAGAGGATCTTAAGGTTGGCTTGTTTTTTCCGAAGCGTTCCCAATGAGAACGACCGGGTTATTCGTACGAATATACGATTCACATGTACGAACTAATTCTTCTAAGCAGAGCGCTCAATAGGTAGAGACACGATATGTCGTTCAGAGACTCATATTACCTCATACTACCTCATCGACTGCTAAACCATTAAACGATAAATTACGCTAATTCAATGGACCTCTGTGTTTCGTATTTTAAGCCCGGTAGCGTTGCTAGGCATTTTATTACACGGCTAGTTTTCAGCACGAACCAAAGTCGGTCTATGTCCGGGTTCGAACCTAGACCACAACATGCCCCTAAAGATTAGCAGGCAAATACGTTACCTACTAAGCTGTCACGTGTACGATTCAGTAGAATTGTCGTGCTGAACCTTGCCAGCTCACAGTAGTAGCACAGGTGTACTAACCAACAAAGAATTAAATATACAGCTATTTAATATTCAGTACAAATGACTAGTATATCTGGCTCGTATATCGTACACAGGCACACGCAGAAAAGCGTAACTACATAGGGCGCGGGGCAGACTTCGTTCTGTTAGACTTTTCTCACTGCTAACTCTTATCGACCGACCTACCTTGAACATGGTGAACAAAAATTAGTCTGTTGGACATTAGGGACCCTTCTTTTAAATGCGGTGGAGTCATGCCGTTTATGGCGACAGCCGGGGATCGTACACCACCTCACCCCGAAAGGCTGGTCCTTTGCAGCAGAGGCGAAGACGAAGCGTGAGGCAAGAGCCCTTCCCTTTGCCCTAATGGCGGCCAGTGGACGCAGTAACGACAGCAGCGGTCGCCGATACGACCAGTGGAGGGTCGCAATGTGCGCCATAAATTAACAAGGGATTGTTGGGGTAGCGGAGTTAGCAGTGGACGCTTGAAAAAAGGCACCACTTCAGAGCGCTACTAGTCTTATATTGACACACACATCAACGGCAAACCGCAAGAACGTCGCTTTCACAGTCACGCAGATACCACGTTGCAGCCGTAGGGTTAGACACTGCATAAGATAGAAGTTCAAAGCGTCTAATTGAACGACGCTGGTTCCTATACAATGTATGCTGCCTTCACCAGCAAACTAGCCGGGTTGTGCACGACCCTGGAGACGTGAAGTGATAATGTGACATTCAATGTCAGAATATTCATAATATTATCGCTATAGCCCATGTCGGGTCGTAGTTGCTGGGTTACGCCCCTGGAGTCCGCATTGCTGTAATATATTACGCTAATAGGTGTAATGGGCATCTTATAATACGAGTACTGCACTGCTGTTTGCGACATACTGCCACATGTTGAAGGTACACGTAGCGGCGATCTAGTTGGAATCTTTCACAAAGTTCAGAAATGCATCCATCTTGTTTGATCATAGGTTATCGAGTAATAATCGTAGTAATAATAACAAAAATCCCCTTAAAGGAAGTCAGTTCAAGTAGTGCTAGGGCCGATCGCGTGGTATCTTCCGAGTTTCGCTAAGATACTTTATTACTAACAATAGGCGGTACAGCTGTCGGTTCGATGGGGTGACAAACGGTTACCATTTGCGACAGTGGTGGCATTTTTGAGCTTTTATACCAGTTCAAAATAGGCATTCTACACAGTAATCAGGTCGAAACCAGAAATAGGTTAAGACGAATGCATCTTGTTTGTGTCATTAGGGCTATGTTGGTACAGCATAATCAATGTGTAATCCATTCCGGTTATTGCTATTTGGACAGTTTCTGTTGTACAGACATACCATCATTGCTATATTTGCTCTTATTGTCGTCATCATCAAAACGATTACATTAGCTTCGGCACTATCTTTCCCCTCGTTATCTTCGTCATCACGTTACTGTATTATTGCCTACGATATTGCTAAATGGTTGTCGAGTTGGCCAACCGCGGCAGAAGCCGTTCCCGGTGCTACCCCAACTTCTGCAAAGACGCTAATTACGATTATTTAGTAGTTGAATAACTCTATACCAGTTATTATGTCGCTCGACCTGGGCTTCGTTGGCCCGATCGAGAACCGGCCTCGTAATTGCCCCATGTGGCAACACCATCATCCAGCACTGGAAACAATCGTCGAAGAAAGTACGGGAGGAAGCGAGAGGGCCAACGAGATTGGAGCGAGCGAGCGGAGAGAGAGAGAGAGAGAGAGAGAGAGAGAGAGAGAACGGGCGGCTGTATCAGTGTGCACAAAGGCGTGCAGACAGGCAAGGCGACGGAGTGCTGGCTACAATCATGGCGGCAGTAGCGATAACAGAAACGGTAAAGCAACGTTTTTGTCACAATACGTAGATACTAGACGATATCTGTTGTGAGATGGTACGCCGATGGCGCTGTGTGACGCTATAAAAATAATCACGTCCACGTATTTCAATTCAACTGTGAAGTAGCTGTTGCGGTGTTAACATTATTTCAGTCACCACTACCAGCAATGGTCGGTGCTGATCTTCTGTTTTCTGCTATTTTTTATTAATCTGCAGGCGCTAGGGTAACCGCTAGAGTATGCCGCTGATTGTACAGGGGAGTGGTAATAAACGTTCTCACAACTGATATAAATCTTGTTGCTGGGTCATCGTATTATCACCGTTCTGGTGATCAGAGACGACAGGCGTTCATCACTTACGTATGATGTCTTCTTTTTCTGATAATATTATGAGCTAGATAGTGCGATCTGCTCATGCGATTATAGACTTTGCTCTTATATAGTTGACTACAGTAGAGACACTGTTTATCGGCCAATTCTTGCAATAAGACCAGAGAATTATACCGTTGATAATTTCACCGTAGCATCAAGGTGTACCATGTTGTACAGAGTGGCGTCATAATAGCGTATAGTGTACTTTTTTGTACGTTTGGCAGTTGCTTTCTATTTAGTCACGTTTTTCATTGGAAATTAGAGAGAGAGAGAGAGAGAGAGAGAGAGAGACAGAAATAAATGGATGATGACCAATTATAGCCAATTTCATCATATATAATAGAATGTATCTCTGAAGAACAAGCTTATTTAACTTATAAAATTCTGGTAAAAGCGTATATCCGCCCCTTTTGTCTTTAATTTTATAAAACATTGCAGCTATATTTGGGAATAGATACCTTTAAGATTTAAATGACAATAAAGCAATATATTACACACATAAATTATCGTAAGGGAATCAAAGTAAGTATATATAAAATTGTACGACATTGCGCATTATACATTGTTAGGTTAGCTTCTACGATTCTCAATTTAGCCCGCGGGCATTTGTAGTGTTCTTTAATTGTATCAATACACATCTAGAATCGTTATTGGAGTTTACGCTATTTCTCTTGCTCAGAGACTGACGATAACTAATTCTACGATGAAAGAACATGTTTGCAAAATATAAATATTTCCTTGAGTGGCTAAGTTTGTATATATAATCTTTTCCATAAGCACCGCCAGCTTCGTATCTGAAATCTGAAATCCGAATTAGTATCTGAAATCAGAATATTCAAAGTAAACGTATTCAAATAATACATTCCAAAACAAATCAAACATGTTGAAACTGTTTCAATACTGTGATTCTACTTTAATGCTAGACAGAGCGTTCCTTGGTTAACAATTATTAATGTTATTATATAACAGTATTATATAATTCGTATCGACAGGAACAGAAATTTGATTGTAGCTTGGCTCCTATTGTCTAAAGCAAGGAGACGCCGCTTAGAACAGAAGAAAGAAGCCATTACGTCACATTGCCGGCCGGCCGGCCGGCCGGTAAGACAATCGACAACTAGATGCCGGGTAGCAGCCTACAAAGAAAAATTTTGGGCACAAGGGCGGCAGATTTTATTTATCACGAAATATAGCATTCAGTAATAGGTATAGACCAGTACACAGACAGAGATTGGGACAGATATGATCAATATTTAAAATCAAATAACTGTATAAGTTAAGCAGACGAAATTCCAGGCACTTTTTTTGGGAATTATAGTAACTTGCGCTTAAAAAACAGACGTGAATGCTTTTCAACTTTGCACATTTTGTATTCATTTCTGCAACACAACCAACTGTAACAAATTCGCTAGCCTTCTAAATTGCAATTATTAGTTAGTGTAACAACTATTTATTTTCTTATTTATATCCAAATAACTTGTTTTTTTATTGGGCTTAAATAAAAACGACAGTAGCGTTAAGACCGACGCTTAGAAGTACAGATTGAGAGATAATATGTGGAGATTTTTACCCATATTTGGAACACTGCTTTTCATTCGTGTAAGCCTCTTATCACAAGCATAAGGGCATGAATATATATATATATATATATATATATATATATATGGATATACAATATATGCATATTCACAGAGTCATCCGCGTAGCGGTAGCGTTTCGTATGAGTCAAATCGAAGTCCAAAACTAAAAAAATATTGAGATCAAGCATAAACTTACGGAGGCCACCTGCAACCGTTTCACCTTTCAAACAATCTATTTATTTATGACGTCGTGCGACAACTGCATACACGTATGCAAATTGCACTTATAGCAACCTAAGCATCTACGGAGACTAAATTATAAGTTTAACAATGGCTCGATAGTGCAACATTTTTTTTAAGTGTGCAGGTCATCACATTTGCATTGGTAAATATCTTGTACAGTGCATTACGCGGTAGTCAGTACCCACTACACCCGAAGAGGTCCGCCCAAAACTTCTTCGTGTTCAAGAAATCTCCACTGTCAGTGACGGCAATGACTGCCAACGATTTACACGACGAACGAAATCTCCGGCAAAAACAAAATAAATTGACTATTTTGATTTGGAAAACAACTAAGACCAGCCGGTGGCAACCTCCTCCTCATATAAAATCAATGTCCTTCAACAACTAGAACGTGGACCACGCCGACGACCATGTGATTTCGGTGTTTAAGGCGTTATAGTATAACGTAATCGCCGTCATAATTATTACTGCAGCTAGCGTATTAATAAATGTGAAGTAGATGAAGTCGCATGAATCACTCTCTAAGAATTGCCTTCATTCAACTTTTCAGATTGACCGTTGCCAAATTACTGCCAGCTAACGGAAAAGTCTATGCGGATAGCTATCTGATAATATACTTTCCTCGTCTTTAGAAAAACATCAAAGACCCAGGTTTATCCACTGCCACGGCAAGCGTTGCCAGCAGATCGGATATAATTCGTACATTTACTCATATTTATCAATTGTCTATGAATCAGATTTCGATAGTGGTAGCAGCTGTTATCATTGCATTACAGGCAAGCATAGTTCGTGTATTTTTATTCACGTGAAACGTCTAGCTCGACAATCGGGCACGCCTACCAGTTTCTGTTAGAGCGGTCACCACCGTATGCAAAGACGGCCGATAGATCTTGTTTCTTAAAAAAAAATGAATACGTTATTGTTTACAATCATGTTAAGGAGTCAACAAACTTGGTAACTGATTGAAGGTAAGACATACATGGTGTATATATATAAACAAAAACGTTTTGACAGTGTTAAGCCAAAGTTGAAATATTTTCTTAATATGCATCTTATAGTAATAATACTACGAAAAACTGAATCTACGCTATTTTTATCATTGGCCTTCTATTGTTTTCCTGGTAACACCGTAGTCTCATGAGTGTAAGATTGTAGCAAGTAATTTTCGTATCCGTGAATTGAAACGTATCTGAATACCCATTATGGGAGTTTTGCGGAGGTAGACAGTGTGGAAATATACGAGAGGCGCGTTGAAATTTTTTATCCAGGTCCTCTCCAGGCAGCAATTAACTATGAATGTGGCGTCATAATGAAAAACGACGCATGTCAGATCGATTTCTTTCAAAGATTTGTTGTGATTTTTATTGAAGTATAAGCCCGAACGGATCGTTCGGTCAGGCAGTGGCTCGTAACGTACAATCTCTTGCCAATCCATCCAAACACAGAGTACGGTTCCCCTTGGCAGCAGTCTGAGCTTTGCCATAGACACCTGTTTTTACTTACACATTATCACTGCATGTTTTCGTCACTCGCGATTCAGAAACAGCTAGATTTCATTGCCTTTTGGTGAAGTTTCATAACGCAGTCGAGTAATTTTTCTGCGTCGACTTCCAAAAATCGAGTCCTTTGTCGCGGCGAGCTCCTTTAGCTGGTTCAGAACTATTTGATGGTCAACATACAGTATATCATCTCACGTCTCACGTTTCCTGTCACAATTTCATCAATTTCTTTCATAACTAATCAATTACAAAGAGATCAGTATTTTTCATATCGAAATTTCTAGAACGAAAGTGACCGAAGCATTTTTACGCCGTTTCCTCAACAATACATCTCGACTATAAAGGACACTATGTTTTTTATGCGCCTCCGTAGCATTCCTGCCTTTATCGTATCACCGTATCACTGTCAATCAAGTATTATGAATTTTACAAAAATTTCGCTTATCCTTAAGCCGCTCAATCTTGGTTTTGAATAAAACCATTTCAATTTTTAGTATCACAAGTTGCAAGTGACATTAATCTGACGCGGATCATGTTATCTAAAATATCCGATCTTTAAGCTATCTAGCTAAAAAATATCACAGATCAATATGGTAAGCCTGCCCGCTGGCCGTATCAGCACCTATCGCGCAAGGGTCCTTTCATATCATTATCTCGTTTCGTGTGCCGGCTAGTGCTGAACATTCAGTCAAATTCACCTTTACACTGACAAGGAGCATACAGTAATTATTAATGTTTCAAATCAGTAGCCGAGCCAACAGATATATGTACGCAACGGTGGCCTGCAGTGTCCTGCGCAAATATTACTGATCTATTCTAAAAATATCCAGGTGACATTGTATCGATGACTTCAAACTATGAATAGTGATTATGTAAACGTATTCCAATAAACTGTAAGTATATTTTAGCTAGTATCGGTCGGCTAAAACATGTATCGTCGTTTGTTATCAGGGGTCGTTTAGGAATGTATGCTATTAATGCAAAGAAGCAATATAAATATATGATGCTATGTTATTTTTCCATGATTTTTCGCTCAGAGACAGATCCTGCGTAATAAATACTGAATCGTTAATTTCGCCAGCGTGACAATTAAAAACGCAGTGTACATGTTTACAATGGCGTTTGTTTCTGCTAGCTATGTTTATGTACGCGTTAATCTGATTGTTTCGTCTACGACATTGATAAAGAAAGAAGCTTACAAATGTTTATATTTACACAGTTTGCTTAAATCTCCCGTTGTATTGGCCTGTTTTTTGTAATTCATCCATGATTTGGTGATCCTTAGCAGGACAAATAAAAGCTGAATCAATCGAGTATTAACTAAATCGAGCCAATGACCTGACAACATTATGCCTCGTTATTATAGAAATATTATTAACTATAACTGGAATTTTATTGCGACGTTCCGACAATGTATGTGACATCTTAGGTGGCCATCGATTCTCCCGTCTACTTAAACGTCAATTAGGAATAGAGGGTTTTCTTTTTGCATAGTGCGCGTCTGAGCGTGCGCGTAAAGAAAGCAAAATACGTGAGCTGCTATTTGTCAGTAAACAACAGGGTGTCGTATCGGTCGAGACGTGATGAATTCACATAAAACGAAATAAAAACGTACGGGCATACACCATTGAATTGCATGTCTGCTCAACCGCTCTTCTAGCAGGTCGACCAAAAATGGTGGAGGTTTTTTTTTAAATGGAACAGTTGCTCGTTGCTAAGAGACCCCTTGCTGATATTGTACTGTTAAAATGCTGTCCCATGATATTGAACGGTGGAACTAGCCGCGCACTCTACACAGAGCAAGAACGACCAGCAGACGCTTCCAGTTATGTTATCTTTGTAATATTCTTGTACCGAAAAGGACTACCCTAGAAATTCGTGTACAGCGACCTATCTCTCAAGCTAGACGTGTCAATTTGCAAGCAAATTTAATTTCTCTTTATTAATTACCTCATTCATGCAATGTATAGTAGCTAGCTAGATGCGTGTAGGCACAGCTGTCGCTGACGGCCACAAACGTTGCTTGGCTCCGTTGACTTTGGTTCGTTGTTCGTCATTGGAGAATCTAGGCGAGACGGCGAGCGGTGTTTGCTGGACCTGTTTTAGCCTAGATTCTTACCGTAAGCATCTGCCTCTCGCGCTACGGCGGGCTCGATCCGATCCGATTAGATCTGATCGATGTCGGCGTGAAAGGAGTGGTTCTACAACAAGACGTCAGGCAGCGTGAAAAAGAAAGGAACTAGGAGCGGGCAGCAGAGTGGCAGAGTATAAGATGTATGCCTGCTATTGGATCCAGTTAACGTACTAGAGGTATTTTGGTGCTTATCTATCTAGGCCGAGGCCAGCGGTAGGCACCGCCTAGGTCATAACCATGGGTAACAGCGAGCTCGTAAGAAATACAGACAAGCAAGTGTGCTATAGTGTGGTCGTCGGAAGTATATATGCAGGTCTGCAGGTTCGTGATGATGACTTGCGTTTCGTCTTGCGCCAAGAGCATTGCCGGATGTATTGAGGAGAATGCCTTTACGTGAGGCAGTGTACAATGGGTCTTTTACACTGATGCCCTTTTTCATGCGTATCTATCTTCCTTCGTACCGAGCGAGGTCAATTGAGAAATCTCATCCTGGGCGGTTGTCGATATGCGACCCCATGGATGAAACGTCAGTTATTGTTACTTAACAGTAATACGGATTAAACTAACACTAATGTAAATAAATCACGTTTGTTGCTCATATATTAATTTCAACCTATGCCATTAGGCATGTGCGGGTGATATGGTGTGCATTTTCGTGGGCCAATTCGCTCTATATCTCTATCTATATGAACATCCGCTGATTGTTAACAATGTCTAGCTGCCTAACAATGAAAGTCTTTTTCGGTTTTACCCTTTTTGATCGCGCCGTCGGCAGGTTTTCCTATAAATGTTTACCGGAAAAATGCTGGAACTGGTCCAAGGTAAAATGTCGCAAAATATTTTTTAATAAGACGGAAAAATCCCAAAAAAAACTGAGTTAACCCAACACACATAGCATGAAGCTCGACATTCTTAGTACCTATCAATAGCTTTTAACAAGCTGAGTAAAATACAATGCATTGATTGTGAGCTATTCTATGCACGTACAGGTAATGTTAGCTTTTTCCTAGAATAACATATATATCATTTGTTTCGCAAATCACCAGGCTAGTCCTAAACCGTCGTCTAGTTTTCGTCGAAAAGGTGAGAAACGTGACACTGAAAAATGTTGTAAATAAGCAAATTGCGTAACACAGAAGTGAATGTTTGGATGCTCCAACTGTTTGGATGCGAAAATATTTATTTTCGCTGCAGAAAATCCTAAATAATCGAAAAAAATAGGGCTAGTGCCGGACAAGACTTAGCTTCCCGTAAGGCGCTGGGATTTCGCTCAGCTCTGTCATATGATGTTCGCGCCTTCACTAGCATCTCATACTGTCGAAAATATATAAGTGAAGCTTAACTTCGATTGGTTGGCAGAATGAGAATCGGAGTGGCTGTGAATTAGTACTATCTATGTTTTAAGACGTATAGAATTACGAAAGCAAAGGTTATCGGAAGCCCCTACGGCTACTAAAATGCTCGAAATTTTGTACTTTATAAAAAAGAACTAATAGAAAAAGCACTATTAATATGCTTATGAGAGTGATATAAAGCCGCTTATGAGTGTCCTATATATATATATAAGGATAAAGGAAAAATAATTTCAGTGAACATTAAACAACGTTAGTGCACGTATATCAATTGGTTGAAAAGTTCAAAGTTAAAACATTCATCTCGATTTAAAATATTCTGGTTGTTCTATTGTACACGCAGTGATAGAGAGAGAGAAACAGTTGTTTACAGAATCTGGCTAATACAGTAAATTAAATATGATATGTTATATAGGTATAAATGGCTTAATGGCTTAAATTATAACAAGTTCTGTTGATCGGCGTTGTCATTAGCAGGCGTGACAAGGATAAGTTTGATTAATAGCGGCAGAGTAAGTCAAAATTGAGAAGTTCTATTTACTTGCGGAACTTTTCGTTGCTCGTGGAAGGATCGTAAGTAACGTGCGTCTTTTAAGTCAAACGACCTGTATTATAGATGATGTTATCTTGACGTAACCTCCTTGAAGTGTGTCAACCTGCGATAGAAATGAATTAACCTGACTCGTTTGATTTCGATTAAATAGGTTCCACTGAAGACCCAGCAATTTACTATTCCCGCATGCTATTTATTATTATATTTTTCATTTTTTGAATACAGGTTAGCCATAATGTGAAACATAGGGCTTTTGTTGTATTGCTCTGCATGCACGCACAATCCTACCCAAAAAAATCGTAGTTTCACTTAACTGTATAATCTGATTTTTAATTTTACCTATTCACATTGATCACTTGAAAAATTGGAAGCTATTTCTAATACCCAAAGCATTCGAGAAGTCCTCAACAGTTAGTTACTCCGCACACACATTCGCATCAAGGCTAGTAGAAACAACGACGAAAGTGTTCTCCGCCTCCAAAGAGGTGCTGCCATGCAGAGACTGCGACGTCTTCACCACGGACCCCTTTTTCTTTTGAAAGCGCTGCAGATAAGGACACTTTCGAACAAACATACGAATCAAACTCAATTCATTCCATCAGAGCAGCCCGCCCCGGCGCTGCTATCGCATTGGCGACTGCAGCGACATCCCACAAAGCGTCAGCTATCCAATGATACAATGTAAGACGTAAGTGAAGCGGCGAGCCTTTCGTTCTATGAGAGTTGCCACTTTTTTCTATCACTGCATCTCCATTCTCCTCCTGCGCGCTCAGCTGAACATCGGGGCAGGGGTAGCCAAGCTTTTCTTGACCGCCTGCCTGCTACTGTTAAATCGCCTGCGCGTGTCGATTTTATTGGTTAAAGCTGCATTGGGATTTTGGCTGGTTCAGCTCATTTTGCCGCTTCCTCATTTTGTAGAAGCTGTGTCGGTCTGGAGAGCTAAAGCAACAACGAAGTGGCCTATAGCAAGGTACACTCTTTATAGGCCTGAGATGCTCGGCTCCATCGCCAAATAAATCGCTGGCGTACACAGTCTCCAGCAGCGATGGAACGCGTGGTAATACATGGACACAGCGAAACGATACGACACGCACAGAAGATGAGGCATGGGGAGAAAAAAGCCCGATTTTTTTTTAAATGTAATAAAAAAAAATCATCGTATAGTGTTACTGCTAGCGGGTGGTGTTATAATGTTTTGCTGTGAACTGTGAGTGGCACGGCTAGTGATAGTAAAAATAAATGTTTTATTTTTATAATGATTAGGCAACAGACGATTGATTTCGATATTGATTCATTTTAAAATCACGAAGGAGCTTTAAAGTACGTAGCCTACCTTTAGAATATGATGTAAATGAGAAAACATGTATTAGCAACAAAATGTTAATATTTTTTATCGTTGATGTTTTGATTTTGTGCATTTATCGGCGTATTCAAAAAGGTCTTCTTTCTTCGTTGCCCCATGGTCACATACGTACCCTGCAAACTAATATACACACAAATACATTACCTTTATTCCATGTACATTTGACAGAACGGGTCAAACAGTAAAACGATTTTATCACGTACCTGTTACTACAATAAAAATATTCAGTATACCACCACCTCATTATTTTCAGAGTCAAATTAGACTCAAACAGGTGTCAAGCAATGGCGTCAACACAGAATCAGTTTATATGCGAAACGGCATATCGATGGTGGCTCACACATGCGTTATGTAAGTTTAAATAAAGCGTAAGTAGTCAGAAGCGGAAGGCAGAAGATCGTTGATTAGATTTGTCGCTGAATATTCTCGTCAAGTATTATAGGCAATACTTAAGTTAAGCAGAAGTAATTGAGGTGAGAAGAAAAATCGTTACCAGTTAAAACGATGCAAGTTCAATACGGCGCTAAACAGCGGGTGAATTCGACAAATGGTATTTCATGCTTGATCGTTTTCAACCGATTTTAAATGAATTAATCGGCCTATTTTGTAAGTAGGATAACTGAGCCTTGGTAAATGAGGCCCATCGAAATTATGAATATTGATTCCTATAGGGATTAAGTCTGATCCAGTTTATCTCTCACAGCTAGGGGCGAACATGCCTCTAAAAGATTAGCTTAGTTAGCTAATATACATATATATACACATATATATATATATATGCCGTATTTAACTATTGCAGATGAGAGCTACTTCAGTGTGTTATTATTTATTTTATTTTAATAGCGGTCGAGTTCATCGATTTACTTTTATCAAGCAGTATTAAAACGCTTGGACAAAGCAATAGATGGATGCGCAGCATTTTGGCAACTAAATAATAAATTGGCATATTATCCTATTTCGTCCTCGAACAGAGCTTCGCTCGGCCGCACAACAAGAAGTAATGCCAACGTTGACCCCTAGCGTCGACACTGCTTAACGTAAGTTGATAACTAGACAACTTGTTGGTTACCATATGAAACGGTTTTCATCATAAGCCGCTGCGGTAAAGATGTCGACAACTAACTCAACTTAATTTGACCTTTTTTCACTCCTCTAAAACAACCAGTTTCTGCACGTAGCCTACACGAAGAGTAGCCTCAATTTTTCTTTCAAAATACCCAAATTTTTTCTATTTAACAGACAACTGGGAGCTCTCGAAGCGCAAACCGACTGGTGCCAGCACACACGGATTTCATGAATCGAAATGAAGGTATATCAAAAACGATTCATGCCAGGAATTAGATGGGGTTGCAGGAAAAGAAAAAGAGATGGAAAGCCCTCTCGATCTACCATCAGGCTTAGTCTCAAGATCTCGGTTGAGGCGACGTATTGCCGTACCTCATGCACTAACGAAAATTGTAGCCTCGAGACTATGTCATTGCAAATGCACACCTGGTTTTGTTGCGGGATCCCGGGAAGGACAGACCAAATTGCGTGTGGGTTTGGAGCAACTTTTTCTTTTTAGGCAGGCTCCAGAGACCATCGTCTCAGACTGAATGAAAGGCAAACGTGAAGGTTTACCGACAATAAGATGAATAGCTGTGGGAGGAGTCGATCAAGGCTCTGTAGTCGTGATTCAGTATTTTCTAATTAATATACGAATACATATTTTCTGCATACTTTTTTTTTTTAAATACCGTATACCTAGAATTTTATTTTGGATAACCCCACTAATAATTTGACATTTTTATTGATTAAAATGTGTTCTTCAAACGGATTTTGGAGACCATCAAACGGCAACGAAAAACACTTTTTGTGTATGTTGGGGTTACTTTGTGTCTCACAGACGCTGTTGTGCTGTTTACAGTGATAGTGCAGTGTACGGTTGCTCCCTGTAGATGAACTTTACGCTCTATCTACAGAATCGAACGTTCAGATTAGAATACATGTATATAATAAGTGAAACGATCTGATCGGTCAGTCTACAAAGGGCGGCCATAGTCAGAGTCACCGAAAGGCAAGCAAAGGCAGGAACAGAAATGCTGGTATACACATCTACACACGCAAGCTTTTCTACCCGAATATACTCTTATATATAATTCTACTTAGGGACACAGCAAGAAACACACATCGGGAAATCGTTTGCTTCTTTTTCTTGCTCTATTGTTTTCCGGTCAGTCCACTGCCGTCACTGCCCTTATTTCTTGACCCTGGCGACTGGAGCGGTCATGCGTTCAATTCTGGATAAAGACTTCTGGCTATGTACAACATATAAGTGCCTCTTGAATGTGCCACAGTGGAAACCGGTTCCGACCCCCCGTCCCCCCAACTCCAACGCTCTTTTCTGATCTGACATTGTGTAACGAGTGCCCTCTGGGAGTGGCAATATTGTCGGCCTATCTAGATAGAAACTACTGACCAATAACAAAGTTATGCAAAGCAACACCAGAGAAGAGTTGGTAGCGGTGCGCCAGTTACACCTCCCTCCCATTGCTTACCCTTTAGATATCCCGTATCTCTGCTACATTCGAGAAGAAAATAACGCACGTGCTGTGCGGTGAGCGTTTCAACACCAAGAACGTGTTCCACCGCATCGATGGCACCCATTTTTGCGCAGGAAAGTTACACGGTATGGATTCCCTTTGGTGCTGACTCCTGCTGATAGAGCTTTTATCAGGTCATAGTAGAGCCCGAGAGAGATGTGACGACGTTTAAACAACTATATTATGCAGAAAGAGAGTTCAATGTCTATCCCACAAGTTGAGATAAAGTCCAATGCAATAACTGAAACAATTTTGTAGAAGTTGCACATATCTCTGTCCTCTATGAAGTGTAGTTTTTGTAGTAATTATATAATTTCTGTTATATGTGGCTAACAAACATTTTGTTCGTTGCTATTTTCTAAGGTTAGCGTACAAATGAAGTAAAATTATTATTAATTGTGTTTAGTTTATGTGTTCTGTATTTGACTTATTGTCTTCAGCAATAGATATGCTTGAAGGCGGATCGCGAATCGCTAGAGCTGCCCTGGCCGCGACCAGTTTGAGTGCATAGATGGTCTTTGGGCTTACGTTATGTATGTATTTCTCTTCCTGTGTATAAAATCGTATGGAAGTATTCTAAATGCAGATACGAAGCTAACACCTCAAAGGGAAATAGTAATGGTATCGTAAATAGCTTCGAAATCAAGCTAATAATATTCAAAGCTTCAGATCACCCTGCACGCATATATTATGGCATTCATGTCAAGCACGGTTCTGGTAGCAGACTTTCAAAGAAAACACAATAAGATTTTCCTTTAGGTTATTTCACAAAGAAATGCTCAATGTATAGAATGAAGACTTGTTACTCGACTCGCCTGACTTCGTGCTACTGTGCAAGAGTACTGGTATGTAAAGATAAAACGTACTTCAAAGATGGTGGAGTTGTCTAAAAGATAGTTCTTTCAGCCGCACTTGAATTCGCAGTTGAAAAATATACGTTTTGTGAGTCATAAAACACTTTATACGGCATAATTTTGTGGCGATGTATATGAAATTATATGTGCCAATTATTTCACATTGCCAAGAAGCACCGTCAATGGAATAGTATACGCATCAGGGAACCTTTTTTAATTAGAACACTTTTAAGCATAAAAAATATGGCAGATACGGCTCTCGTATTCTGCGAGGATAGGAAATAAAAGCGTCTGTTCTACTACAAAAAAAAATTAAACTTACAGCAGATAAAAACGCTATAATAGTGAGATTAAAACAACTCAAGGTATAAAGGGGTAACGATGAAATATTTGTTATAATTTTATTGGTGCGTTTTTATCCATGCGGTAATAGGGTACGTTTGCGTAAGCCGTAAGAAGCGTGACGACGTGTCTTTTCATTCGGTTTAAAAGAAGATTAGTCGCATCGCACGTAGCTTGTCTGTTTTGCTAACACCAATACATTCAAATATATGCGCAATCAATTGAAGTATATCTCTGTCTTGAAGCTTAATTCCTGATTTAAATTTGACAGGTCACGGTTTACACACGATATCCCCACGTGTTTCTTTAGACGAAGTACGCAGTTGTGGTGATATATACTTGAGTGAAAATGAAGTTCTTCATACTAGACGGACGCATCATCTGGCATCAAAAAGGCATCTAAAGTGAAAGACGTTGGTATATATATATATTTTTTGTCGTGTTCATTGTGTCAACTTTACATTTAAATCTG